TCTCAAATTAAGTGCTTTTTAAACTATGTTCTATCTAGACTATATTCATTGACGAGAGACACAAACGCAAATGGGTTAAGAAAGATAATGAGAAACAGGAAAATAAGATCGTATATATATATATATATATATATATATATATATGATGAATTAAACATTAATGAGACAAATTATTAATCATCATGAACAAAATTAATGCAGAGTGAGACAGTCAAACAGGAGGTGTCTTTAGGTGTCTTTTTTTAAAGATGTAAGCACATTGTCCTCCCCTGCTGCAATATCAGAGTAGCTGGACATATTTGCATGCTCAGCGCTGTGTGTCTGCAGTAATTCATCATTGGTCTCTGAGGTATTGAAAGCATCAGTATCCGTCAGCAAGCTTATGTCAATGGCTGTGTTTTTAAAAGAACAAAATAATTATTTCTCATCAGTAGAGCACTTATTTTTAAATAGCCTGTGTTATGTGTCTCCAAAAATATCCCCAACTGCAATGGGAAAAAAAGCCATACCTAATGGCCTGTAAGATCACAATATTGACAAAATAATTAGAAAAATTATCAATGGCCAAACTGCGAAACCGTGGAATGAGATTGTAGACTATGTCCAGTGTAGCATAAAAATGCTACAACAGATCAGCTCTAAACCCCTATTATTAATCAAAGATTTATAGAAATAAATACATTGATGCCAATGTCCAATTGGTGTATTACATACACTGCTTACTTACACTATAAACATGACAACAGAAAAAACATATATGATCTAAAACCCTATAATAATCAATTATAAATATAAACATATTATTACACTAATATTCTAAGATCTAAAATGCATGTTTTAATAAGATTGTATATAAACGACAAATATATCTGCTCTAAAATCTTTTTAAAAAATCACTGAATTCATATAGGCTACTGGCACAATGACACTGTAATGACCCTGATTTTAATGGTAAAAGACTGTTAAAATACTACAGTAAAAACCTGTTAATTGGTTAACGGTAAGTTCCCGTACTGTACAGTACAGTAAAAAACTGTATTGGACATTACGTGTAATTTTACGGTATATACAATTTTTAGAAATGAAAAAGAACGTATAATTTACAGTGAATAACCGCAAATTGACATTCCCAGAACTGCCTGCGCTACATTTCACATTTGATGTTTTTTCATTGAAATAACTGTTTCTTCTTAGTTTTTCTCATCAGTTGTGTACATTAGGGTTGTATGTTACATCTAATGTCGTTAAATTAATGTTTATTGCATTATTTCAGTTTCATGTGTGTTACCATGATGACCTTGGTTTGTCATGTGACACTTTTGGTGGTTATCAGTGTATTACAGAGGTACAAAACAGATTTTAGTACTTCAAGGTTGGTATATTAACATTTTACCAGTTAATAATTGTAAAAAATGACAATTTTTAAATGTAAATTTAAGTTAAATCCATAAAACCTAAAATGTCGCTACCATATATTTTACGGTAAAAATTTTGGCAACCACAGCTGCTATTTTTTTCCATACATTTTACGGATTTTTTTTTTTTTTTACAGTGTATGTAGGTACTGATATGACAACAAATGTTATGCCAGCTCTAAACCTATAAAACCAAATATAAACACATGTATAAAAACATTCTTGAGGTTCGTCAAGTTAGTCGCAGCTGCATCTTTTGGCGCCAAAAGAGCAGTTAGCTAACCTTCAACTTTTGTTTTCGACAAAAGACTATTTTTTTGCCATACATTTGTAATGTACAAATCAATAATAACATAACTAAAAGGATAATACTTCTATTTTGCTGATGAAGATTAATTTCCCTGATATAGACAGCGAGCCAGCGATTTTCGCTATAGTCATTCTTGAGAAGTGGGACAAAACAGGGTGCAAAATTGAAAAAATAAAACCTTGTACTCAGA